ACAGGTATTATTGAGCTCTTTTTACTTTACTTAACAAGGTTTTATTTGCTATTTCTGTTTTAAATTGAATAAATTAATAAAATCAATTTTAAAAAGTAATTAACAAGTAGAATAAAATCAGTATAGTAAAAAACAAAAAAAAAACATCTCAAAAACTCTAAATTATAACTCACATTTTTATTTTGTATATTTTTATTAAAAAAAAGAAGGAACTAAGGTTAAAAATAAATGAAAAAAGATTTTTCTTATTAATATAAATTATTAATATTTTTTCTTACTTACTGATTAAAAAAAACCTGCTATATATGCCTATAAACTTTTCTAAGTCACCTAATAAAAATCTGATTAAAAAGTGATTGAAAAGTGATTTAAAAAGAAAGTAGTTGCTATTGTTATTTTTGAATAAATGTTAAAAATTTTTTTTTATTTTTTGATAGATTTAGATCATCTGATTATGTAAAACATATAATTTAAGCTTGTGAAACATAATTTTTGTTAAAATGTACAAATCTTTATAAAAATCTTAATTTTGGCTAATTCCATGAATTGGCGGATATGTATGGTTATATATGACTATAACATATTTTAATTTTAGATATTTTTTATAGTATATTGACTAAAGTTTATTTATAGTATCAAATATAATTGTTTGTTGATTTAACACGTTATACACATAGCTTATATTTCTTGATTTATTGAAGTAATATAAATAAATATTTTTTTATCTTATAAATACTAAAATATGTTATAATAAAAATTTTTTAATATAAAGCAACAATAAGAAAATAAAGAAAATATTTTTTTTTGATATAGCATTTTCAAAAACAGAGAAATAAATGAAAAAGAATTTTTATTATTTAATTTAAGTCGTGATCCGCGAATGATCGGCATCAGATCATATGAGTTGTGTATAGTAAATTTGGGGATAAGATACATTATAACCAGTTGTAATAAATTTAAATCTCTCGTTGACAACCTTTAAAAACTGTCATAATGGCTCCAACTTTACGCGTTACTTTAATAAAACCAGGAACTATAGTTCCTGAACTTCACTATGGACCTTATTCTTTTTATTGGTGGATAATTTCAAACGAAAATGAAACTTTATTTCCGATTAGGCTGGGACAACAGACTAAAGTTTGTCTTAACAAAGTAGATTTCATTTTAACTATACAAACTGGTTCTGGTAATAACAAATTAATGCCAATGTATTGTTGTCAAAGTGGTTTACATGTTGTTACAGAGCTAAGTTCTATAAAGGCTATTTCTACAGCTTATAAAAACTGTTTCAATACTTCAACACGCTATTCAGGGTATCAAGCAATGGGTTGGAATGACAAAAATATCCTTTAAACTTTAAAACAAGATATTCAACATATTCCCGTTACTGTTAATGTAGAAAATTGTATAATTTTTATTTATGGTATAGGGACTTCTTCACGCGAAAAATGGCGTTATGCAGGTTCAGGTTTTCAATCATCCCTTCTTCATATGTATGAAAGAAAGCAGTCAATTTTTGTATCATGGATTGAGTAAAAAAAATGCATTGTTTAAATTTACCGAGAATCTGCTTTAATAAAATAATTTAAAGGCGCAACGCCAGATGAAGTGTGGGAAAAAACAGGACAACTGAAAAAATTTACCGGCACACAACTTTATGGTCTTGATAATCCAATTACAAAAAATCTAATTCAGCAGTATTGAACTCAATGCACTCTTAATGACTGTAATGATGAATATATTTTAGAAAGGTTATTTGATTATCATGTAAAAAGAAGAACTCTGGCAAATGCTAATTGGAAATATTTTTTTACAAGTTGGTTTAAAACTGAAAATCCAATAATTGAATTAGAACCTGCTTTGCATGCTATATATCCAAAAGGATATGAATTTAGTGAACGTGAATTAAGTGCGTGGCAAACCATGCTAAAAGCAGTTGGTGCAACAAATATAACTCCTTGGTTATCTGAAGAATCAAAGGTCAGTAAATTTGTGATATTTTTATTGTTATTTTTTTTATCTTCAAACACTAAAATAAATATTTTTTTATTAGCGTCAATTATGGACAAAATCACCAAATGTAAAAGCAGACAAGGTAGCATTTGCTGCTTTATATAAAAGTGGTTTTCTTACTAGTATTCCAAAGAATATGCCAAACGCAACACATACATTTTGGATGTGTTTTGAACTTGCACTTGCTAACAACAAAAAAACTCCTGATGGAAAAAGACGTATACTTTCTATAATTTCCAATGATTTTACTTATGGAGAACTAAAACAAAATTTGAATGTAATATTTTATAGTTTTGCTTTATATGTAAAATTTTAATGTACACGTTCTTGAATTATTTATTCTTTTATTTTTAAAATTATGTAAATAAACTAGACTTAAAAAAGACAATGAAAAATTTGCAAAAAATTATTACTGATACAATAATGTAAAATTTTATATTGTTTTTATAATAAATATATACAGGTTGGTTCACATACTATTGTAGAATCTCGCAAGCATGCACGTATCAATTGTTATTGATCCCCTCCACTTGTAAAACCAATAATTTGCCGATGAAGGTTTACACCTGAAATGCTTGAACAAATTGACAGATTTTTAAATGATAAAGAATTTGTCAATATGAGTTCATACAAAACTTATGCAAAATCAGGAAAACCAATCAAATACTTACAAGACACGAAAAAAGCATTATGGGAAAGATTTGCAGAAGAGTATCCTAATGGTATGCGTCTTACATCTTTTATGATATGTCTTGAAGGTGGTCAATATGTGTACCGAGAAAATTTAGGTGGATTATGTTCTACATGTAATGACTGTGGTTATATGGTATTTGGAGATATTGGAGTAATTATTTCTGCCCATGTTATGGATGAACCTCTGAAAATAAAAATAAATTTTATTAAAATTTGCAAGTATGAATTCTAATATATTTTATCTTATTAGAAACGTTTATTAACAAAATTACAAGAATTGTGTCGATACATACGTCGAGAATATTCAAAAGAACTGGAGGTTACAGCAGCTGGTATCGCAGTTCATAATTCCTGTATTAGTCATTGTATACGACATGCCTTTTGAGACTGTAATCTTAATCATCCAGTTACCTGTTCAAAATGTGAAAGTATTTTTAGTTTTTTTGAAGAATTAAAAGCAGCAATAAGTGAAGAGTATTTTGAAATTCTTGATGAATATCAGCAAAAACTCATAGCATGGATGGCACATCATGCCCGTAAAATATACTTGAATATTCATGTACGAACAAATTTAGAAAAATTGGATGAAGAAGGTACTGTAATGATTGTAAATTACAAAATAAGAATATTACCTCAAAGTGCACGTGAGACCAAAACAGAGTTTTTTGGAAAACGTGGTTGAAGTTTTCATTCTGTACTTGTATATACCAAAAATATGGAACAAAATCAACTGGATGTTCAAGTATTTGATCACTGGTCTAACGATACGCGCCAAGATGCATGGTTTACTGCATCTTCCCTCCATACTGTAATTGAAACATTGAATCCAAAACCCAAATGGGTAACAATAATGTCAGATTATGGCATGCATTACCACTGTACAGAGTTAATGTTGATTATTGCACATTGGAAGGAGTGGTATAATATAATTCCTTGCAAATGGATCTTTCTTGAAGCAGGAGAAGCCAAAACTTCGATTGATTCACATCATGCACAGGTGCATTCTGCTATATTATTATATTGATAGTCAAAGATAATACTGATTGAGTGATTGATCAATTCATTGATAATAATAAGGTTTCTCAAGCAATGAAAAGATACGTAAAGCTTGGATATGATGTTATTTCTGGAGATGATATCGAATTAGCAGTAAAAGGTATAGTAGGCGTCCTAGTTTCTAATTTGAATCCTAACAGAGATAATGGTAAATTGTAGTTCTAATTAGCAAGCTGTAAAACTTGAAATAAATCTAATATTTATTTTCAATTTAGATAAAGCAAAATTGGTCACAATTATGGGAATATCCAACCTGCAAGAATGGACTTGGCCCACGGACTAAGAAAAAGTAGGATATATTCATGCACGTGCACTACCAGGAATTGGAGAGTGGAAAGAATGGTCACTTGAAAAAATAGAAAAGATTGTTAAAAAGCGAAAAATTGAAAAACCAAATCCTACTTTTACATCTCATACACAATCAATTAAGCAATGGAATATACCAATTTTAAATAAAGAAAGTGAGTTTACCTGTTTCCATATTATTCCTAAATAAAAGTAACATATTTGCTTGTTAGACAAACAAGATCCAACACAGAATGAATCGGTAGGTGATATTCAATTCTAGAATTTTCGTTATATTCTTTATTATAATCCTATTTGCTATTATGTATTTGTATTACCAATAATAAGCGCCAAGAATATGTGAACCAAATACTTTCTGATCTGACTAACCTGGAAAACAATAGATCATTGGAAACCAAAAGGTATAAATATTAAACAATCACATCTTTATTTGTTGATTGTATTATTTATTTATTTTTTTTTTTTGCGTAGTCAACAAACGTTTACCAGTGGATGGGCTCTAAAAGAAAATGAAAAAACTCGTCAGCGTGGACCAGTAAAAAGAATATCTCCCCAAGTAAAGTATCTTTTAGAATCAATGTTCCATACTGGAACAGCAAATCCTCGTCAAAAATTAAATGCACAACAGATGCATGAAGAACTTTTAAAGCGTGCAGAACTTGGAGAAATTGAAGAAAATGACATACCTAAAGTAACTACAATAACAAACTGGATTTCAACTTTTTCGCGTAAATGGAAAGAGGCTATGGCTTTGCGTACTTTGGAAGAAAATATGGACTCTGAAAATTCATAATAAATACTTGTAGCAAGTACTTATAAAGAAAGAAATGTAAATAATGTTTAATAAATGTTAAAAATTCGTAAATTGAAAAGGTGAAATTTATGTATTATATATACGTGTACCTTTAAAATCTACAGCTGCTACAAAGAAAAAATTTTTCGTCAAGTCGGTTAAATGAAATTTTTTTTGTCAAACCATATTTTACATTATTGCGCAGCTTGTCATGTGATCTGGTTGAGCTGTGAATTTGTTTTAGTAATACTTGCCTTATTGCGAATGATAGCAGTTATTTTTATTTAATAAATGATCGACAAATTTTTACCCCAAAATTTAATAGTAATTTTGTGTCGATTTTTCACAGATCATGACTTAAATAGATTTTACTGGTAAGTTACAATAGATTTTCTATTATAATCAGTACTATATGATAATAATATTATAGTATATAGGTAATATCACTTATTTTAATATAGATTAATGGATAATCAGTTATAAATTTTGCTACTTATATGGCAAAATTTTAATCAATCATCTATTAACCATGTTAAAATAAATAATATTACTTTTATCTAATGTTGCTACCTGAAACTCATTTAATAATAAAATTCAAAAATCTGAAACTCAAAAACTTTATTTTTAATGAAAAAATTGGTAAATCTGAAACTTTTTTAAATTATAGTAATTAGTTTTGAAAAAACATAAAAACAGTTTCAGCAATTAAGTTTATTATAAAAAATAGGTTCAGATTGAATTTTGACTAAACTAAAATTTTAAAAAAATAGTTTTTGGTAAATATCCTTACTCTCACCCTGTACTATAATATATTATTATTTATATTAATTTATATATTAATTATTTTGATCTAATAACTTTATTAAGATTTTCTATTTTTAAAAAAGCCTGACATAAAATCTTATACACTTATTATGTATTATAAAAAATCTTATACTATACATATATAATATATTTAATCATTCTACAAGTTTTTTTAATATATTAGAAAGGATTTAGAATATCATTTTTGATTTTTATATATAACATATTATAAGAATATGATATAATACAGATGTAATAAAAAACAAACTCCATTATTTTATATAAATTACTAATTTATTATTTTACAATAATTTAAATATAAATTGAATATTAAATAAATTAAAGGTGAAGTTATTCCCCTAGGTGAGTAATATTATTACTCACCCTATCACGTGATGAAATTGTTTGGTTGGCTTATTTTGATTGGCTAATTATTTTAATTAACGGTTAATAGAATTCTGTGCGTAATAATAGTTTTTTTTACAAAAACATTTTATAAAATAATGTAATTTATTTGTAATTTTATTTTATTAAATAGAAGAATAAAAACAGTTATTTAAAATTAAAACTTTATAATCATTTATTTGACATAATTAGTAACAATAATAATGTAAAAAAAAGAGAAACTTTAATGATAAAAAAAAATTAGGAAATAAAAAGATGAAGAAAATATAATGAAGAATAATAAAGATAAAAGAGAAAAGAAACAAAAATAAAAGAAAAAGGTATCAAAATAAAAATGAAATGGTAAATGAAAGAGAAGAAGGTTGAAGAAAAAAAAAATGAAAGAAAATGAAAGAAAAAGGGAACACAAAATAGAAGGAATACAAAAGAGAGAAAAATAAAAAAAAATAAAAGAAAAACAAAAGAAAATACGAAAAATGAAAGAGAAGAGAAATTAAGAAGGGAAAAATGAAAAGGAAGGGAAATGAAACAAAGGAGAATGAAATAAAATAAAGGGAACAAAAATAAAATAATGAAAAGGTGAAAAAAAAAGAAAAGAAAGATTGTTAGTAATAAAGACAAAGAAATAACAAATAAAAAATAAAAAGCAACAAAAATAAAACCAATTACTCACCCTATTTTAAAAAGAATCAGCAACCTAAAAAAAAATTTTAGGAACTAAAGCAAAAAAAAAAGCTGAAAAGTCTAATATTTATAAAAAATGAAAGGAAAGATTAAGATCAAGAATAAACAATGAAATAGAGTTAGAATAAACCCTAAAAATAAAAAGAAGTGAAAAGTAATAAATGAAAAAAATATATATATACCTTGATCGTAAAATTAGAAGGATATAAAGCTAAAGACCTAAAAAGAAGATAAGTAAGAGTAAAAGAGGATTCTGCATCAACTGTAGAAGAATGCGTTGAACATGCTATACGCTCATGCGCCTTCGTGCTAAAGAGAAGATAGGAATCAGATATGGATAATTCTGAGTGTCTGGTAGCGTAAATTTTTTTTGAATATTTAAGGTGCTTGACAGATTTATCTATAGAAACAAAAATAAAAGAGACAAAGATAAAATAAAAGGAGAAAATGAAAGGGAAAACAAAAATAAAAAAGAACAAAAATAAAAAAGAAAACTGGAATAAAGGGAAAGAAAGAAAGGGGTAAAAATGAATGGAAGCAAACTGGCAAACCATAAAGAAAAAATGAAATAAAGTTAGTAAAAATAAAATGAAAGCAGAAAAAGAAAAAGAAAATTAGAGAAATGAAAAAAAAATATACCTTTGACCACAAAACTGAGAGATTCTAAAAAACCTAAAAGAAAATAATAAAGAAATTAGAGGCAAGAAAGAAATGAAAACATAAAAGAAAAAAAATGAAAAAATGAAATATCTAATATTTGCATACCTTTGACATGAATCTTTGACCGCGAAACTGGAAGATTCTAAAAACCTAAAAGAATTAATAAAGAAATTAGAAACAAGGAAGAAATGAAAACATAAAGAAAAAAAAATGAAAAAATGAAATACCTGGTATCTGCATACCTTCGACACGAAACAAAACTAAAAAACCTAAAAAAAAGAAAAACTACCGGATGTGTAAGTGGACATGTAAACAAATAACTGATTGTTGTGACGTAATTGTAAATCTTGAACAGGCCAATCAGTGATGGGAATGAGGAATAAATTTTCTCATAAATTAATTATATATTTAAAATTTAAAAAAATGTAAAATAGCAAATCATATATATATAATTATTAAAAGAACTGAATATATTTATTAATAAATTTCTAATATATTTCCAATTATTTTTATTGATAATTATTACCTAATAATTTAACAAATTATATTATTAATAAAACAACTTTATTTATTAAAAAATTTTAAATAATAGATAAATTATAAAATAAGAAATATTTGAAAAAAATAATACTAATAATAAAGAATAATCACCTTCAAAAGTTTTATCAAAAAAAGTAATTAAAAAAGTAATTCTATTTTATGAATAATAATTATTTAATAATAGATGTAAAATAACTTTTATATTAATTAAAACTTTTAATATTATAATAATAATCAGTTTTAGTAATTTTTAATTTGTAATTTTATTATATTTTAATTATAATAAATGCAGAATATTACATTTTGAAAAAGTAAATAATAGATATATTTATTATATATATATTATTAAAACATATATGTGTATTTTAAAATAGTCTTATTAATCTGTTGTAAATCAAATTGACATATCACATATATTTTAAAATTAGCATATGATCTAAATTATTAGTTTATTTTAATAATATTTTAAAACTGTACAAATAATACTTTTTTTATATAATTAATTATACTAATTTGGAATATATATTAATTTGATTATAATAAATCTAACCAATTGATCCAGGTAAGAGGTGTATCAATAACATAGTATTAAATTATTAAATCTAACAAATTGTCCTAAGTATAGACTCCAGCAGTAAAAGTAATGGTGATCAGTTTTTTTTAATATAACTCATAAATTTTATAATAAAGCTATAAATTTTTTTATTTTTGGGAAAAAGAGTCAAAAATGCATATATTTTATTATTTAATTAATATTTAATTTGACCTCTATTTGTGTGAATGCATACTTTAACTTTATTTTGCATACTATTATTACAAATAACTTTACTATTAATAATTATGTTATTTTCAAGATTATTTCACTCAATCACTCCTTTCTAAATAAATTGAAAAATAACCTGAAATTTTTTTTTCTTTTTTTTTTGTATTATCATTTTTTTTAATATATTGCTTTAAAAAAAATTCAAATTTTTTATTAGGACTTGAAATTTGGACTTTAAATGAACAAAAAAAACTCATTATTGGAAGATAAATTCTCATATTATGTCAAACATTATGGGAGTTGTTATTTTATATATTTATTATAATAAAAAACTTAACAATAATCTAGAAATTATTTAGTTAATTAAGAATGTATGTTATTCCAATGAAAATTAAATATACAAAATGATTGTCACTTTAATTTTGGCAGTATTTTTTAAGAAATAGCTTTAGTGTGATATTTAGAATAACAAATATTTAAATTTTATCAAGTTTTTAAAAAGAAGAATGCATTGCTTACAGAAATGCAAAAAAATTCCAGTTCAATTAAAAATTACCTAAAATTTTGTTTTAAGAAAAGTTAGTAGCTTTATAAATAAATTTAATTGTAATAGATATTTGAAATTACTTTTTTTTTGTTGCTTTTAAATAATCATTTCACTGTTCAATTTGGTATAACTGATAACAAGTAATGATCTAATTGGAATAGTAATAGCATTATAACCAATTAAGAAGCAGTATTCTCACCACCATTACTTTTATTGGAAACTGTAAAAGAATATGTCAAATTTCAAAAATGCGCCTATATGATGTGAAATTTTTCATATTTAATTATATTTCTTTATAGTTATTATCTAATATAAACTGTTTCAAATATATGACTAAGAAAGTTGATTATATTACCAATTTTTGATTTACTTAATGTAGTAATTATAAATAGACAATAATTAAATAAAAACTGAAGTAATATTTAATTGATATAACTTTAAATAAAAAGTTAAAAAAAATAGAAATAATCTAAAAAAAACATGTCAAAAATTACTTTTAATAATTGTTTCTGGGTTTTTTTTTATATTTTATATATTAATATTTAAATACTTTTAAATTTTTTTTTTTTTAGTAACATGAGTAACATGAATGTTATATCTTATTCTTTTTTTTATTGCTGTTTTATAAACAAAATACTTGTAAGGATAATTTGCACATGTTTACTTTTTAAGGTTGGATTGCTGTACGTTATTCATCTTATCCATTGTGAGACGCTTCCGCGCTACCTATAAAAAGTTCGGACTTAATTTCTCTTTATTTCCAGGTTCTCATGTGTCATTTTACATTTTCCCACTTTTTTTTTCTTATTGTATGCGTAAAGTGAACAAGATAAAGTACCTAATTTAAATAAAAGTAATAAAAAAATTTTTTTTTCATTAAACTATTGTTTAAAAGTGAATAAAAAACAAAGTTTATAATAAACACTTCTACGCTTTTTCAAAAATTTTTTCTTTTTTTGTGTCGAATTGTGAACAAAGAGAATGTGAGTGGCGAAGTAGTATGAATATAAACTAAGCTTTGCTTAAAACAAAGAATAGTTAGTAAATTCTAAGTGCCCCAGAACACTTCAAAAGTTAATAACATGATAGTGATTTTTTTGTTCGATTTTGCTGAAAATATTATTTATTATATTTTTCTTTTTAACTTGCTTATTACTTGGTTTCTACTTTGCAAATCTCGAACCATTTATCTTTTTTTCTTTTTAACAGCACTTCAAGATTCCAATTTTTTACAATTCACGTGAATTCATAATCATTCGTTTCGCTCTAAATCAAAGTCCAAGAACAATTTGCTTTAATGGAAGGAGAATCAATAACAGCTTCCATTATGGCACCTAGCCAAGCAACCTCACTCGATTCTTTTCAGATTCCTAGACATCAGGAACCATTGCGCAATGCTTCAGATTTAAATTCACAAGATTTAGATTTTGGAATTATTGAGGATTCTGACAGAATACCAATTGATTCTAATGCTAACAATGCTATTCCTGAAATTCCAGCACGAGAAAACGAAGATATTGAAGATTTTGCTGATTTTGCTAATGAATCACTTGGTAATTTATTTATTTTTTCTTTTTTTGTAATTTACTTGTATTGTGAATCATTTCTTTTTGAATTTTCTCCTTCACTCTTCATTTGTGGACATTATTTGCAAATTTCATATTCATAGGAGAAGAATCGGGTTCAGATTCGGATGATGAAGTTGAGATTAATGATAACGAAGATGATACACCTTCTCAACGTCTTGCCAGTTTTCCTGCTAATTTTCGCGTCATGTATATTGGACAAAATGTTTCTAATTCATGTAAACATAGCATTTTCTCCAAAATAAGCGAAAGTATGTCGCAAATTTTTTGGGATGAAGCAGATGGTGTTATGCCAACAAATGATATTGGTTTAGAAAGGAGACTTGTTATATGTCCAGTAAGAAATCTTCCTGAAGATGGTAGACCTCAATTTGAATACCTTCTGGACTTAGGAGTCGCAATTTATGAGGCTGATCTCACGGATAGATCTGATGGATATTTCTCTAGAGCATCAGAATACTTGCAGAAGACATTTGCAGAGAATGATCTAGACAATTTGGTTGATTTATGTATTGTTTTCGTACCTCAGGATGTTGACCGTTTCCCTAATGAACTTTTACTTACAATGAGGAAATTACAAGAGAAAGTTACTTTATTACCAATCATTACCGTGAGTGATAATGAGCTTACTTTCACGAATGAAAGGGAAAAAAAACGTCGAGCAATTGTAAAATTGATCGAAGACAATGGGATTAAAATATTTACATGGAAAGCCGATCAAATGATTGAAGATAGAAGAGATCATAGATGGGTGGAAACTGTATATACTAAAAATTTTTTGATCGTAAACGAATTTATTTTTTTTGACAACCAAGCTATTTACGACGATTTTCAACTTTTACGTTCACGTGCTATTGAATTCAGAAAGGATCGACTTAATAAAGAACGTGCAAAGAAACGGTCTCGATATTTCGATAAATTAGTTGACAGTTCTAAAAACATTATTAATACCTGTGCGGCTTTTTATATAATTTATTTGTTTGTTACTTGTATCTGGCATTATGCAGAGTGGTCAGTTATTCCTTCTGATTTGGCATCATCTCTTCAAGCTGTGTCAAGAGCGTCTTTAAAAGCCCAAAATAAAATTGTGCCTCAAACAATACCTCTCGATAATGGTGAAACTCAACCTCTTATTGAAGTATTTCAAGAATCTTCGAATAGATTCATGTTTAATATATTGAATAAAAAACAATATTTTGAAAATCGAAATGACTTTGAAGTTGTTGTAACACAAAATTTGGGCCGTTATGATGTCCAGGAAATTGGCAATAGTCGATACATGTTTGACATTGATACTACTGGCTCAAAAGGTGAAGTTTTGGTCGAAATTAAAGAAAAGAATGGATCATCGATAAAAATCGTAACCTGGGTACCGAAGGAAGATAAAACAAAGAGTAATGATATTGAAAATCATGAGAAGGAGTCTACTCTTTTGGATTCATATTCTACATAGATCATTTAATTCCGGCCAAATTTAAACAATCACGTGACACCGGTGCCGGCGATAAATAGCAAACTCCTTATATTTTTCTGATAAAATTACTGTATTATATTAAAAATACATTGAAAGTTATTTCTTTAGAATATTATAAAAAATCTATCAATAGTATATCTTATATAATTAAAGAGTTATTTTTTGCAAATGGAAATAGAATTTATTATTAAAATTAAATCTAATATTTAAAAACTCTGCAATCATTAAACAGGATGGATATACTATACTGTCTATACATGAAGTCAAAATTAAAAGCTGGCCAAATTAGTTCAAACATGGCATAGCGCTTTTATCTTTATTAAATTAATTACTATTTACTAGAAACTTTACAATAAATGAACATACAATACAATTAAAAGAAAAATAAAAATAAACTAACTAAAAAATAAAGCTATACAGTCTCCTAAAAAGTTGTTATAGTAAATTAAAAATCATAGTACATTAACACTTTCTAGATCATCCTCCATAATATATCTCAAACACAGTAGATGCAACTGTACTAATTAAATAACAAACTGTACACCCATTTTTAAAATCTATATCCAATTCTGCAAAAATTGCAGTTATTTAACAGTACTATTAGATGACTTATAAAATCTGAATAAAGATTAAACCAATTTAATCCTTAAGTAATCAAGTTTCTAATCCAATTTTCATCAGCATCATCACATGACAGCTTGTCTTGGATCAGAAGTGGTAAAAAGGAGAAAGATAAATATGATAATTTAGGCAAATTAGAAGGCTGAGGTTGAGACTTGAGAATTATAGTGATATTGATGGAATATTTTTAACAGCTTTTTTAGTATGTACTAAAGCTCCTAATGAGTTGAGTTGAGTCAAGTCACGAGTCAAAAACCTTAATTTTAAAGTACTTTTTATTAAGTTAGAATATAATTAAACAAAAATTTACAATTATGCGAGTCAAAAATGCGAGTTTATGCGAATCATTTTGGAGCTCTAGTA